AATAGCATTCAGTTGTGCTCAAAATATTCCGAAAGTTTTGAGTTTGGTTTCAACTTTTTCCATTAATCACTTTTGCATCTGCAGGAAAAAGGGGCCCTCTTTATTTATTGGGTCAACTTGTGACCTTTAGGAGAACTGAAGACTAAATGCATCCAATCATTTAAGTTAAGGGAAAGTGCATCTCAAATTCCCCTGTTCAGGCTGGTGTTACCAGGTGGTTTTGTTAGATTGTAGCTATGGGAGAATGCAAAGAAATCCCAGGTGTTGGTGATCAAACTGTCAATCCTTTTTATAAGAAGCTAGAGTCCCAGTGCATGAATTCATGTACTGTGGGGTCCCTTGGTCTGGCCTGTGGTATCGGGCTGAAACCAGCTCTCCAACATCCCCCGAGGGGTCTTGGATTGCAAGAGGGCACAGGCCAGGCTGAGGGACCTCACTGGTGCACAAAAGGGGCTAGGGAGGGACGCTGGAGGTTGGCCAGCTGGGGAGAGACTGTGGGAGGGCTCCAGGGCATGTCTGGCCCATCTCGCTCAGTCCTGATTGACTGGACCCCAGCAGCAAGCTAACCTAACCGTCTGCTCCCTGGTAGTCAGTGCACGTCATAGCAAGTGGTTGAGTGGCCTTAGCATTCATTAGCATACTATGCTTTGATTGGTTGAATGGATGACCAGACACTTAGCATATTAGGCTTTTATTATATAGGATAATTCCAATGGTCTGGTTCCTATCTTTCTGAACATCTTGGAAAAGACTCTTTCCTTACAACTCCCCCTGCTATTCTTCTAATTGAATGAGCTTTCTGCTGAGGAGACATGTGTGACTCTCAGGATTGGAAAAATTCAGCTGGAGCACAGAGCTGAGACCTCACTTAAATGGACAACAACATTTAGTCACTTATTTGCTCAAAGATACACTTCATCTGGTTCTCAGAATGCTCATCAGGACAAAAGAGAGTTTAAGAGGAGCTGGAGTACAACAAAGACCCTTAAAAGCATCTGGAAAAGCAATGGCATGCAATAGGTCCTAACTGGATGTTAAAGAAGAACTAATAAAAAGGAGAAGGGAGCAGAAGTGGAGAAGAGGGTTCCTAAATTGTCACTTAGGACTGGTTGATGGGAAAGGGGCTTTTCAGAATCCCCCAACCAGAAGTGAATAAGGAGAATTCAGCCTCCAGATATATGTTAGAGATAAAGACATTTACTCCTGCTGCCCTGAAAGATGAATTTTGTCTCCCCCTGCAGGAACATATCTGCATCAATATGTATTTGCTTTGAGGAGGAGAAAGGCAGCTTATTGAAGGTGAAAGTAATAAACAAGAAAAAAGATTACAAATATTTTCCAGAAATTTGCCCTTTTTTGTTGTTTTTTGTGTTTTTAAGTCTCTAGCAAGGGATTCACAAAAATAATTGTGCAGTACCTTTGTTCTACATTCTACAGCATGTTATGCATACCCTACTATAACAAGATATGCTTGTTACAACAAAACGCGTTAGACTTCAGGCAAGCACAAGGTGTAATTTATATTTCACATCCAAAATCTAGCCCAGCCCCTGGGGTACTGAGCATTGAATAAATACCGCATGAGTGAAGAAAGAAAGAAAGAGAACAATCTAGTTCTTTTGTTCTGGTCCTGCTTTATGGTGGCCAAAAGGGTGAAGTTGGCTTATTACCATGCCTGTTAATATTAAAGAGAATAATACCTATTTTAAAAAGCAGCCCCAGGATCCTTAAGATAAATCTCTCATATGCAGTTGAGAGCGAATAGAAGAGGCTAAGCTATTCATAAAAATATATCTAGAGAAGTGACAAGTCTCTAATTCTCCAGATGAATTCTCATAGAAACCCTGGCAATCTAACTTACTGATACAATGAATGATGCAGTGGGTGTTAAATATGCTATATGGTAAACAGATGTACTATTGCTTGCATAAATATGTTTGTTTGGTGGAAGGATATCAATGAAATAGCCTCCTTAGAATGTGAAATTACACAGGTATTTTTGGTTTTACTGTACGGTGACCACATTTGATTAAAATTTTTTTTGTGTGTAAACAGCAGTTAACAAAGACTGAAGGTTAAAGTGGAGACTTATGGTAGTCCAGTTGGCCAAGGAAGGCATTCAGAAAATGTGATTATTGAAGCAGGAAGGGTGGTAAAGGAGGGATTAGAAAGATTTTAAAATCCTTTTTAGAGTATAATTGTTCAAAGATTGAAAAACTCACACAATTAAGAAACTGCACAAAACGACACGGATTGTGGTTCCACTGAGAAAAGACAGGCAGAGTTGGCACTATTTCTAACTGAAAATTGAGTTTTCTTTGGAGGAGGCAGCTCACTTGCTGTCATATGCATCTAGGACAGTGATGGCGAACCTTTTGAGCTCGGCGAGTCAGCATTTTGAAAAACCCTAACTTAACTCTGGTGCCGTGTCACATAGAAATTTTTTGATATTGGCAACCATAGTAAAACAAAGATTTATATTTCTGATATTTATTTTATATATTTAAATGCCATTTAACAAAGAAAAATCAACCAAAAAAATGAGTTTGCTTGTCACCTCTGACACGCGTGTCATAGGTTCGCCATCACTGATCTAGTAAAAGAAGGTTTGCTGAATTTATGAAATAATCCCTCCCTGTAAAGGTATTTCTACTGCAGCCCTGAGACTCTCTTCTAAGAGTGGCATGCAGAGTGCGCTGTCTTGTCATTTCATTTGCCTTCAGGCCTAGGATACGTAGTGTGTGGTATATAGAGTCTACATATGCAGGGAGCTACACTGGCAGGTTCTCAGTGGCAAGGACGGGGCGTTGCAAAGTCTTCACCCTGCAGAACGGCCTATGATCATATATATGCAGATGAGAAAAGCAAATACTCTACATTGGCCTGACTAGTCCTCCACTTCTTCCGTAAGCACTGCATCAGCAAAATATCATCCTTGTTTTTTCCAGCTTTATTACTCACACCTTCCATTTCATTATCAGAGAGGCTTCAGGCTAAACCCACTACATTTCATGGAGACTTTTATCTCCCGGGACAAAGGACTGAATAGCCTAGCAAATGGCTGATTTATACAGACTTTTTATAGAAATAGAAAACTCAAAAGTAAAAGTGGAAATAGGAAAGGACAGGGCAGGAGAAAACAGTATTTAAAGATCTTTCCTCCTATTAATAGATCATTCATCTTATTAAAGTAGAAGAAAAAAAACGGTGCCTTTGTTAGAATCACATTAAAACAAATTTACTAGCAAAAAGATATAATGGAAGTGATGAAATGATTAAGTAACAGTTCGGAGAAAATTTCAAGGAGAGCCTGTGTAATTAGAACATCTTAAAGTTGAGAAATAGATTACAAACGAAATCCTTACACCACGTTCTCTGAGAGCAGAGTCTGAAAATTCCGAAAATCAGAAGCCAGTGTGTACCTCGCTGGGAGCCTCCTCACACAGGACTGCCTTAACACTGGGGACGCACACTGGGGACAAGATGGACAGCCCACTCTCAAGGCCGGGAACAGTGATGCGGTGATTGCTTCCCCCATCGAATCTGCCTTGTAAAGAGAAGCAGCAAGAACGCTCCACTTCTGTGCATCATTATATGGGCTTGCCCACATCCTGGAGCATTTATATTGCTTCCCCTTATGTTTTTCTCCAAGTTGGCCCAGAGGCAAAGGGTAAGGGATATTGCTGCAGCAAAATGACCAGCATTCCTACCTCCACCTGGTGAGTGAGCTCAGATGCCTTCTCGAAGGAATGATTGTGTTTCTTTGATGCTTTGTCATCAAAGGGGAAAAGACTAGGAAATCTGTCACCACCTTGTCTAGCACATTATGCCTATAAGAAGACGTGTGTATGTATGTGTGTGAGTGTGCACGTGTGCAGATTTGAAAATGTGATGTGCTCCAGAGCCCAGGGGTTAGCAGGGAGGATTCCTGAACCTCCTAGGAGCTGGCTCCATGGACAGGGGGGTCGTCACACTTGCTCTGAAATATACAACCTGCATCTACTTTCTTCTGAAATATACAACCTGCATCTACTTTCTTCACAAGATGTCCAGTGAGTAGATGGAGGGGAAGAATTGTGTTTGGTTGGTTAAATTAAGATGGCTAAAGCTCGTTCATGGAACCAATTTAAACTGTTATTTGAATGTTTTATATTTCATATATATATATATATATATATATATATATATATATATATGGTTAATAACCCCAGAACTAACCTAGCTAACATTTCTTATGAAGTTGGCTGAGGCATTTTTGAAGTTATAGAACATCTTCCTAGCAGCACTCTTCCTCCTCCTCGTGTTAAGCCCCTATTCCCATGCTTCCTCTAATGCTAGGCTGGAGTATGCTGTTCAGTGTGTCGGCCCCGGAGAGAGTGGTAAGGCAGGAGCACAAGGACAGCTCACTGCAATCAGGACCCCTATGTTTAAAAATACTCAGGGGATAAGAGTCAGAGTGAAAAGAGGTTATGAGTTAGGTCAATGGGATTCCTATGGTACAAATATTAACACAAAACAATCCTCTCTTGTTCCTTTTAAAGTGGCACTGAATGAAGCCAGGCCTCTAGCATCTTCTTTCCTACCCTCAATTCCCTGGTCGGAACAGACTTGAGATGGGGAGGACGTCAAAGATGGCTGATAATAGCTAAGTCAACCTCAGGTTCAAAGGAAGCCTGCTGGACGGATGGCAGCGAACCGAAGGTGCATCTGAGAAATGAATACAGAACTGAATATGCATGCGTGCACACGTGTCTCTTCCTTGTCTAGAAGTCAAGTCAGTCTCGAGTGACCATTACCAACACAATAGGTTTGTCAAAGAGGAAGACAGTGGCCATAGCTGCCTGGTCTTCTGGGCTGGGTAAATGCCATGGTTGATGCAGGTATGATCCGAAAATAAATGGGGAAAAAATAAGAAAAAGAAAAGGACCAGAATTAAGAGACAGAGAAAGAGGAGGAGAAAAAATTAACAACAAAAGAGTATTAGTTGACCCTGTAGATTTTCAAATGAAGTATTCCCGCTTGCACTCGCTCACTGTATTTTGCAAGTCAATGTCATTTCTGAAGGAACTGTCCAAGTTTGCTGGGTATTCCTTCTCCTTTATCTGGTTCGTGCGATGTGACTGCTTATGCCGGTAAAGGAACCGCACCATGATGCCGACGATGGAGAAGATGATGAATATCACCACCGCGATTACTCCTGTGGAGAAAGGGGGCGATGAGGGAAAAACATTGTCACAGCTCATCCACTCCAGAGAGATGATTCAGTCAGACAAGGAAGCCGCTTAGGAGGAAACAAAAGAAAATAAAACAAAACAACAATAAAACTCTGCCACAGGCCCAGAAATAAAGAGCAGCTGAAACACCTTCGGTCTTCAATTACAAAAAGCATCCTCCTCCAGAATAGGGAGAAAGCCAGTTTACATCAGCGGTTGTATTGAATGGACTAAAATTGCTATAAAATAAATAGACTAGCAAAATATTCTATTAAATTTCTTCAAGACCCTCTTTAAACAATGTGACAGAATCAGTTGCAATTAACACATTTTTGTCACCTTGCAAATAAGCATTTTATAACTACTTTTGCATCCTAGGAACTAATATTTAACTATCTCACATCACAATAATGCTCTCCTGACGTAAAAGTGGTGATGGTATATGTGTGCTTTGCTAAAATGTTTTATTAATAACAAAATGCTTCCCAAACATTTAGGGCATTCCTACCCTGCTCTGCAGCTTCCAGGCACAGGTTAGCTAGAGGCGGTATGCCTCTGTCCTTCGGAAACGCAAAGCCAGCTGAAATGCAAGTTTCTGCCCCATTGCGTCAGATTCCTCCTGCTTTGCTTGTTTGTGATTTTACTGGACCTATTTGGCAAATCGCCCTTGCTGACCTCTAAGGGCTTATTTCTATCTTTGCCAGGAAGCCTCTTGGGATATGAAGAGCAAAGTCAGCAAAGGGATATTAGAAATGTGGACACTGCCACTTTTAAAAGGAGGATGTGTCTACACGGGAATGGAGGTTTCTCAACATTAACATTTGAAAACTATTTATTCTTTAAGTTATTACAAATATTGTTGAAATATTAGTATGTAACCTTCTGTTTTCCTTTAAGTAGGATAGATATTGGTAAAATATGTTTATTTAACAAAGTTATTTTTGAACACCCTGCATTGTGATTTATGTAAATAGGAACTTTAGAGAGTTAAAAACATTAAATGCATATCCCCTATGGATTTTTATCAGCGCTGAGGCCCTGATTAAGACAGCTTACCTTTGAAAATAAAGCATTATGTAATATGTCTGCCACACTTTTGGAACCAGACAGAGTGAAACCTCCTAAGTTAACAAACCTATGAATGAGCTGGGCGGTGGGTGACTCCCAGGAACAGCGGAGCCTTAGGAGATGAAATACAAACTGGCTGCTCCGCCCCGCACGTGCGGGACTCAGAGTGGGAGGCCGCGCCAGCTTCCGAGAGTCCCCTGGGGTGGGGGTGACTTTCTTGCTCTTACAGATACTTACGAAAAGATGTACACAGGTGGGAAAAAGTGAGCGGTCACAAGCCTTTTCTCCACTTGTCAAATGAGAAATTAATTACAGGAAGAGAAACAGGCACGGAATTATTTTCTACATTCCTTGATGCCAAACTACAATCAAGTTGGACTCTCTTCCCTGATGCAGAAACTCATGTCAGACATTTTAGGACCTTCCTTAAGGAGGCAGGTTTTCTTTCCTCACAATCCCACTGCGATGCTGCGCCTTTGAGCTCCCACAGCTGTTTGCACTTCCCCTCAAAGCACTGCTCATGGCCTCTATGTTGTCTGTTTATCCGGCCTGTCCCCCACCAGACCAAGAGCTCTTTGAGAGCAGTGCCCACATCTTTCACCCTCTATTTCTACACTGAGCACAAGCCCTGACCCAAAGTTGGGGCTCATCAAATAGAAGTTAAATCAGTGGCTACTGCCATCTTTTAAAAGAACCCCACCTAACTGCCAGAGGCAGTGGTCCTCAGATGGAAATGAATTTAGTATCTCACAGGCATCTGCCATTAAACAGGTTTGGGAGGCAATCTGTGTTGCAAGACCCAGATGGAAAAATCAAGACTATTGGAGGCTGCAGAAAGCTGAGGCGAATGAAAGGGGTTGGGAGGCCAGCAGGCAGTGAGACAAAAGGAAGCCAAAGGAGTGGGGGAGCTGAGCTGACCTCAGAGCAGCCAAGATCTGCATCTGTACCATGTGCTGCTGGATCAAAACTACAGTCTGAAGGCTTCACATCCAGCTCATTAGATCCAACCCCAATCACTTATGGAGCAACCCAACAGGATGCAGCTTCCCCCATCTGTCTACCCCAGTATGGCCCTTTCCCATGTGTAATTTTACTGGTTTGCTTTGCTTGTGCTTCAGGAAAATAGACACCGGGATGAGATGAATACAATGCACACTGCCTGTCTCTAAGTAAAGTGTCCAGCTGTTGAGTCAGTAGTCAGCTGCCTGAGGATCAGGGTGGGGTGCATCCGTGGTGCATCCATGGAGCTGCTGGCGCCATACAGCACACAGAACTGTTTGTGAAAAGGCTCATGGACTTGCAGGAACCGTGGGGTTCTGGGTCCTGGATGGCATTAAGGAAGGATTCAGATACACTTCTCCAAAGTACAGAATTACTTGAGCCTTTTCTGCTTTCATCAACAAAGAATGGTTTACCTCCAATGACAGCCGAGTCACTTTGAATTGCATTGGTGAGTGGTTCCCGCTCATCTCTCTTCCCAAATGGATCTGAAAGAAGTAAGAAACAGGAGCCTTCACTCCTCACTGAAAGTCCTGGGAAGAGGACTATTGCACAGAGTTGGGATGACACACCCGAGGATGAGACCAATTGCTCTCAAATGATGGTGATTTGGGATTTTGGGGAAAAATCAAGCAGACATTCATAAAAAAGCATTTGAAACACATACTTAATACCCATAGTTGCATGACCTGGTAAGCTTCTATGTAATTTGTAAGATCAGTGGTTAAAACAGATGATGGCAGTACCCTCCCCATGTGTGCTGTGGCCTACTGCTTCCCTATTGGCCTACCCTCTGTGTTTGGTTGGACAGTCCCTATGCATGACAATGGCTTCTCACCTCAAGCACACATGCCCCTCTGTTTCTACTGCAAGAGGACACTCAGCCCATTGACAGGGAAGGACAAAAGTGCTGAAGAATTAATATCTCAAACCCTCACTAAGGAGAGGGGATTTTACTTTATGGACATTAGCATACATGGGATAAGGAAAAGTGCACTGCATTTAAAAGCACATACATGTGGGTTTGAGTTACTGCTCTGCCATTTGGTCCAGTGACATTGAGCTAGATACAAGTTTACATAATCTGCAAATGCATTAATAGGTGACACTTATTAATAACACCCATACATATGCATAGAGTACATGTGAGATTTCCAGGACCTGTGGCATCTGTCACTATTATCATTTAATCCTTAGAAAAAGACGATAGCATGAGTACTCTTTATTTTTCCTGTTTCACAGATAAGGACATTACATTGATGCCAATAATTAACTTGTCCAGAGTCCTAGAGTTCATTCATAGAAGATTTGGAACTAAATCAGGGCTGGACAACTGTCACATTCGGGTTCTTTCTATTGTATCTCATTGCTGCAGGAAAATGCAGAGATCAGAGTGAGCAGGCAGCAAAACTCAGTCCTTTCTGTGCTGATATTTAATAACTTATTCAGCAGTTGATTACCACACTAGATTAAAACAAATACCAGGAACACTTCAAGACATCCAGGATGATCATGCATATGACAAGATAAAATAGGTACTTTACGGAGTGTAAAACAGATGTATGTGTGGGTGAAAGTGCTGTGGGGCTTTCCTATATTAAAAAAGTAGGTTTTAATCACATGACTTGTATTAGTCAACAGCCAGCTTGCCTTTCTGAGCCCTAAACTCTTTAATCCTTAGAGGAGCAGCCATTTTAAACAGTAGTAACTAACATATGTCTATTTAGTAATATATGTAAATATGCTTTTAGTTCTAAGTACTCATTGTATTAAAAGTAGGACTACATTAATATATATGAAAATTACCCATGAGAAATCAATCATACTTTTTAACCACGTATATTCATACAAGATAAGGAATTGAGTAATATTGATCTTTAACCTGGAAGCTTTTGAAGACATCAGAAGTAGTGCTACTGGTGTAAGTTCACTGGGTATTCTCTTGTGTACCTGAGGAAGAATGCACCGTAGTCACTGCATTCACATCCGAATCCGTCCCAGAGCCACAGCTGGCTTCTGTCAGGGCTCCTTGAATGATCACAGGTGCGATGGTCGCGTGGCGCAGAGCTGCCTTCAGTGGTGCTATGTGGTTGTACTGGACTGAAGACAGGCACCCAACAAAACCCAGGCTGTTCGCTTTAGCGACTTCAGAATCTAATCTGACATTCTCTGCAACATAAAAGACAAGGGCCTTTCTTTTTCAAACTATGCTCCATATCTTCTTTAAAAAAAATCTTTATTGTTTACATTTTATATTTAATATTATTTTGTTTTAGTTTCAGGTGCACAGCATAGTGGTTAAACGATCATATACTTTACAAAGTGATCTTCCTAGTATTTGCAGTACCCACCTGGAACAATCCATATATATAAAAGGCTAATATGCAAAATGTCCCCTCGGGAGTTTGACCAGGAGACTGGGAGTTCCATTGCTTGCTATGATGTGTGCTGACCACCAGGGGGTAGTGTGGAACTAAGGGAGGCCCCAGTCAGCAGGTGGAAGCCAGAAGGCCACGATTGGCCCTGATTGCCAGCCTGGCCTAGAGACCCTACCCGTGTACAAATTTCCTGCACTGGGCCTCCAGTATATATTTATAATATTCCCTATGCTATAATTTACATCCCCAAATATTTTGTGACTGCCAATTTGTACTTAAGCTCTTTACCTTTTTTTACCCAATCCCCCAGTCCTCCTTCCTCTGGCAACCATCTTATCTTCTTTTACATAATGCCTGAAATCAAAGATATTACCTTATTTTTGAATTAGGGAAATCACCCCCTATCTCTTTCTATGTCCTCTCCCCAAACTCTCCTTCCACTAAAGCATCAATATATCAACCACAGAGTGTTAAAAAAAATCCTGCTATCTCTGCTTTAAGATAATGTTTCAAACTTTCAAATTTTATTCACATATTTTATGAGCTGTAACAAAGACAATAAATCTCTTCTACACTCTATATGTTTTGTAGAATGTATATCATTATGTCCATCACCATTTATCAATGAATGCTGGTAATTAGTTCAAACATACTACAATGCTCATTACAACATTTAACTCAAAAATATAGAAGGAAATAAGTGAAAAGAGGCAGACAGAGATTATAAGCCAAAGTGGTCCTCCCAGAGGTTTATCACATTCAAATGTGTTAAGTGACCTGTGTAGATGGACCTTCTCAGTTCTGTCCATGGTATTCATTGGTGAGCCTGGATTTTCTAAAACAGCATTCAATCTCCCAAAGTATCTTTGAGTATTTATAAAAGAAGATGAGGCAAACATTTGCGACTCACAGAAAGACCAATGTCTCATTTTCTTCAAGGTTTGTACTAAGATTACTCATTGGCCCATTCTTTTTAACAGGAATCATTTGAACAAATTGCTATGATGGAATCATATAAAACTATAATACACAATGAGCCTTTTTTGTCTTGAGGTGTAATAGTTTTGACACTCCTAGATGTTTCAAATAGTTATTTTATTATGATGATTTATTTTTTTAAATATATTTTTATTGATTTCAGAGAGGAAAGTAGAGAGAGAAAGAGACAGAAACATCAATGATGAGAGAGAATAGTATGACGATTTATTTTTTGGAAGAGGGCAGAGACTTTCCTCTCTACCATTATAGATTATAACATTTCAATTCATAAATAGTCAATGAGTGCTTCCCTGGATTTCTAAGCAAGCATTTTGTTGGCAGCATTTAGAAAAAGATGCAATAAGAATATGGAAGAAAATGAGAAATCGACATCCCTTAATTCTTTTTCTAGTTTTGCTCTCTTTATACTCTCCCTCTTTAAGCACAGCATATTAGTGAAACAATCATATACTTCACAAAATGATCTCCCCAGTATTTACAGTACTCACATGTAAATATCACTAACTTGTCATTCTTCTCACAGGAAAAAGGAAACAAGCCATGTGAATTAATGTGATATGGCCATGTAACAAATTACCATAAACTTAAACTAAACAGCATAAAGCAACACACATTTATGATCTTATATTCTGTAGAAGTCTTGACATGGGTTTTTCTGTACTAAAACCAAGGTGCTACAAGGCTACATTTCTTCTGGAGTTTCCAGGGGAGAATGCATTTCTTTGCCTTTTCTGGATCCTAAAAGTCACCATGTTCCTTGGCTTATAGCTGTCTTTTTCTACCTTCAGAGCCAGCAAAGTTCTATTTGTTGTGCCTTCCTTCCATTACATCTACAAATAATTCTCCTATTTTCCCCCCTCTTCTATTTTTAAGGACCATTGCAATTCCACTAGGATCACCCAGATAATCTTGGGTGATTACCTCATTTTAAGGCCAGCTGGTTAGCAACAGTAAGTTTGTTTGCAAACTTAACTCCTCTTACCCTTGGCCTAACACATTCACAGGTTCTGAGAGCTAGGACTTGGATGTCTTTGTGGGTCATTATTCTTCCCACCACTCCAGGTCTGGGATTCTGTGAGAACTCTCCAGGTATCCTGCAGTGTTGGTGCATAGTCATTACTTACTACTGGAATAATTCATAGGTTTATTTCTCATCATAGCTTTAAATGTAATCATCTCATAAAAGATTTCTTGGACAGTGTTATGCAAGTCTTCCAGACCAAGAAGCTTTAAGACTGGGTGCTATTTGCTGAATGGCTCCAAAAATCAATGTAACCAGCTGTAATTCAGAATGCATGGTAGCTACTGATTGACAGTTATCAAGGGATAGTATTATAGAGCAGAAGTATGTAGAGGAAGAGGTCAAAGGAAAGTACAAACTGGCATGACGTTTTGCTCTGAAGGATTTGGAAGCAGTGGAAAGGGACATGTCATTGTAGCTATGCCTTGAGAGTGTAAGTTAAAAGTACCAGACCTCATTCCCAGAACCCAGTGAGAAAGAAGCCCAGACTGCTGGGAAGGTCTCTGAAGGTCATCACTATGATGAACCCCATGAATACAAGCTCCAGGTACAAGAATAGGCACATGGATGAATCAGGGGGAATACCAGAAAATGACATTTTCTCCTTAAAGAAAGAACTGTTTTAAATAAAGTCTTATTTCTGAGGAAGTGTATTTATTCTAGATGTATAATAAGCATGAAAACTTTGAGATGTTTCTTAACAGAAAGAAAGAGAACATGAATTCCTCATAGGAGAAAATACTCTCAGTATGAGGCCTGACATAATGATTTTTCAGATTCTTACAGAGGTAGGCAAACAAATTTAGGATGGTTCCAAATTATTTTTATAATCTTGTTAAGGGAGAATGTGGTAGAGAAAAGTTCTTTGCTAAAATAATTAAAAGCTTCAAGTACTCAATATTCACTGTCTATTAAATAACTACTGTATAACTACACTACTTGTTTTAAAAGTATAATTACTGTTCCCCTAAAAATTTCTTTCATTTATATTCTATTATCATTCAAAATTTACAGATGGAAACACTGACAATCTTAAAAGTTAAAAGATGTACAGAGGCTCATTTGGCAAAGTTGAGATTTAAACCAAAGTCTCTATGCCTGGAAATGCCAAACTCTTTATCTACGCTGTGATGCTTTCTTAAAAATCTCTCAGAAACATCCTAGGCAGAGTAAGATATTTTAACATAAATTAGCTAAGAAATAGTTCGCAAAAAATAAGAAAAGCACAAGTAATTTTGGTTGAATGCTTCCCAAAACTCAGTAAACTCTATTATATTAAAGACATAGTGCATTTCCTAATTCATTTTATTCAGTTTTTAGGTTACTGCTGCATTATATTCATAAGGAACAAGATGAGGGGACTGTGGTATGTGCTGAGCTGAAGAGTGATATGGAAGACAGACTTGACAATAAGTGTGGTTCCACAGAGGACGTGGAAGGAGGGTGTGACCAAGGCCCGACCTTGGGGACTGCCTCTGTTCTGTTTCTCATTCTTGCCAACATTTTCTGCTAACATATAAAAGTTCCAACCAATCAAGAATTACAAGGTTTCTCCACAGAATATGTACCACCACCATGAGAAACCACAGGTATCTTATAAAAATCAACCACCTACAGAATATCTTATTTGAAAACTAGAGGCCTAGTGCACAGATTCGCACACTGGTGGGGTCCCTCAGCCTGGCCTGCACCCTCTCACAATCCGGGACCCCTCAGGGGATGTCAGAGGCCTGGTCCATGGATTCAGCCTGTTCCCCGCAGGCCAGGCCAAGGGACCCCACCGGTGCACGAATCCATGCACCAGGCCTCTAGTATGCATATAAGATCTTTGGTTAATCTCTTCCCACCTTCTCCCCTCCCCCCTTCCCTCTGAGATTCATCAGTCTGTTCCATGTTTCCATGCCTGTGTGTTGCGCATCTGCCCCCCTAGTGGTCAGTGCATGTCATAGCTACCAGTCGAACTGTGGAACGGTCAAACAGTTGGACACTTAGCATATTAGCATTTAATATATATACTAGTAGCCCGGTGCACAAAAATTTGTGCAGTCGGGGGGGCGGATCCCTCAGTTATTAAACATTTATCGGCACAACACTGACCACATTGGTGGTGGTGGTGGTCTTGTCAGAATGTGTTATATTATGCAGACGAAAATCTATTTAAACAGATTTGATGTAGATATTTTCAAAGATGGAAGAATTGTCCCTGTCAACTATTTTAGTTGATTCATATCTTCACTAATTGCCATCATTGCAAAGTTTTCAGTCCCCATATGGATTGCTGGATATAATAGGTCATGCGCTGTCCCTGTCCTCTGTAGCCTTTGTTACCTTAAGGACTCTAGTTTTCCATTTATATGTTTAAGCACCAACCTTACTGGCTTAAAAATGTAAGCTTTTAACACTGCTCTCTCTGTTCCATATCCTTCCGATGAAAAGTGGAATTGGGTTGCGGCACAGAAGAGAAATTCAGAAGGGGAATATTGAAGTAATGACTGCAGTAGGAGAAGAGGGAACCTATTTCCCTGGCCACAGGCGCTGGCGCCCTGGACCACAGGGCTGGCAGCTTCTCCGGGTGGCTGCAGCTTGGGACCTCGGGTGGGTGGTTGTCCGTCTCCTGGGCTGCAGCCAGCCGCAGGCGCTGGCGCCTGGACCAAAGGTGGGCGGCTTCTTCTTCTGGTGGCTTCTTCTTCTTCTGTGCTTCCAGGGAGGGTAGTCAGTTATGTGTATATGTGTGTACATGCAAACATAGGCGTGTACACGTGTGTATGTGG